GGAATGTCATAGGCATGCTCTCATTTGCTTGAGTTCTTGGCTTCCTGTTCACTTATTAAGGAACCTAAGAGACTCAAATTGCCCGCATTTTACAAAGATGGAGTGTTGACCCAGAGAACAGAGTTTGGGGGCAAGAGGCAGGGGTGGCCGGAGATCTTCATAAGGCAGGACTGAAAGGTACTGGGGTCCAAGCCACTACCAGTCACACTGCTGCTTCCAAAGACCCAGGGCAAACCCTCTTCTCTGGGACTCAGGCCTTGCAACTCTGAACCATCTCTTTGACCAGTCTGGACCTGGGCTAGCATTCTGGGAGAATCTGCCCTCTGATGGTAGTTTTTCGGCCTCTCTTCCGACAATCTTCTCTGGGGAGACTTCAGCATCTTTCACTGGAGCCTCTCAGAATAGCATCCTCAACCCTGCGCCACCCATTTCCCAGGGTTTTCGGCCCATGGACCCACCCTCCTGACCATTGCATCTCCGTTTCTTTGCCCCCTGCCCGACATATACACCTGTTCTTCAGTGTCCTGGAAGGCTCGGTCCTTCATCCATACCTGGCCTCTTGTCCTTCCCCACCTGGCCTACTCATTGGCCAGTCCCTGCATTCTGGCATGCTCCCTAACCCCTAGTGCCTGGGCGCCGGCTGACCACCACCTCACCACCTACTCTAAGGGCTCTGACCTGGACCTTCTCAGCTCCCAGCCCAGGCTGCTGAGGGCCTCAGGAGAAAAAAAATCACAAGGCCATGCAGTGGGGGGGTGGGGCTCTCCCGCCCCTCCTCCTGCCCCTCTGCTGAGCTGGCCCTGGCATGGTCAGCCTTTCCCCAGCTCACGCTCCAGCCTCTTCCAGAGGCTGCTCAGACCTTCAGAAAACTGTGCTCTGGCCTCTTCCCCTCCTCCTCCCCATGACTCAGCAGATGACTTCAGCCTATACTCAGAGGTTCCCAGGAACCTCCCTGTTCTCCACTCCACAGCTCAGCCCCACATCCCACCTTCAGCTGACCCTCTCTCCAGTGCCTTTGACTGTGCCCCCACCAATTCACCCACCACCCCTTTACCCTGCTCTTCTATCTCTCCAACTTCTCCCCACAAGCACCTTCCCCTGAGCATTCAAACCACTAGCAAACCTGTTTCTTCCTCCTGCATTTGACCATTAAATTACCAATGAAAACAGCTGTCTTTGAATCTTCATTCTTCCCCTCTCTCCCAGGAGCTACCCTACAATTGGGCATTTGCCAAGGTCAACTAAGGTACCCCAACTTTCTGTCCTTAGATGACTTCTCTGGGGCATTTGGCAGTGCAGGGCCCCAAGGGCCCCATTCTTCTTTGACCTTTGGGACACATGGACTTGTGTCCTCTCCTGTTTTCCCAAGGGTCCCCTCCCTCTTTGCTTGCTTCACCCACCCTCTTCTGCATTCTTCTGAGATCCTCTTCTGAGGTCCAAGGCTCCATTTACCATTGAGAACTTGAATTTCTGTTTCCAGCTCTGTGTTAGGCACAGTTGGCTAGAGAAACAAATCCAAGGACATTCATATAGGTGTAAGAAACAGCTTTCTACCAAGAAGTAATTGTGTATTAGGAAATATTCCAGCCCAGTCCAACTGAAGTCTGACACTAGTCCATCAGTCCCTCTTCAGACTCAGGCAGCCACAAGCACTGGTGCAGAATGCAGGAGGATCACCGGCAAGTGGCTGAAAGTCTTGTGTATTAAATGGCGGTGGAAGCAGCACAGGGCTGGTGCAAGTCTCAGTCACATGACTCACCAACAGGAAGGTGAAGGAGAGAGAGAGGGAGAGGTTCCCAGGACCCTCCTTATGAGGAGGCCACACCCACAAGAAGGTGACATCAGGCTGTGACCTGATGGACATGCTAGACTCCACCCCTACACTTCAAGTTGACGTGAAAATTATGTAGCTACCACAAGCTCCCACCTGGGCATCCCACTTTTGGTTCAATGGAATGATTGCACCCGCTACCCACGTCTTTGCAACTCTACCCATGTCTTTGCAACTCTCATCGAAAGACTGGGTGAGACTAAGCAAATAGGGTGTGTGAGACAACCATATGGGGAATAGGTCACTTTAGCCAATCCACTGAGTGGATAAGTGAGTCATCTCTGAAGCAGGAATAAAGAGGGACCTATGACTATCATGAAAGAAAAGCCACCATGGAGCCTGTGTGACACCCTTGCCTGAAGTGGTGGAGGCACCGGAGGCCTCAGCATCAAGACCAGGAGGCAGAGGAGTGGGCTTCCCAGACCATGGAAGAAGGCAGAGGCCAAGGGGCCACATGGCTGAAAGGCTGAGGACCAGAGAGAGACATGCCTGCCAGCTTAACTGAGAAGAGGCATGGCAGACAAAGGAATTATATTCTTAACATTTTGTAACCCGTTGGCTTCTTTAATATACCCCATAATCGTGGGTGTTGTCTGTGAGTTCTGTGTGGTCATTGCAATGAGTTATCGGGCCCAGCGGAGGCATAGGGTGCCCTGGGAGGGATCGTTAGTGTGTTAGTCTGGGTAGACTAAAGAAACAAATTCATAGACACTTATATGTGTATAAGAAAGAGCTTTATATAAGAGCAATTGTATATTGAGAAAACATCCCAGCCCAGCCCAGATCAAGTCCATAAGTCCCATATTAGCCCATCTGTCTGATACTAGTCCATAACTTCCTCTATAGCAGAGGTTCTCAACCTGTGGGTCCCAACCCCTTTGGGGGTTGAATGACCCTTTCACAGGGGTC